GAGGCTTTATGTCAAATACGGCTAAAGCCAGCCTCTCCATATCAAACAACGCAGCGCAAAAATTACTGTGGCGATGATAAGGCTGCCAGATAAAGTGGGAGAGGAGAGCGAGAGGGGAAAAAACTGAAAGGAAGTGACTCTACTCAATTATACTGCAAAATTGGTATGACTGAATATTTTTCATTCAGGTGACTGATAGTATCAGTGAAACTGCAATGCAGATAAATAAAGGAGCCTTCTGTCAAGAATAAACACCATTAATCATGAAGCCAGCTACTGCGTGACCGCCTGTCCCCCCGACTTACTCCATAGAGAAAGTATTAAAGAGGGGGGAGGTTATGGGGCGGGAGTCGGGGGAGGGAGGGAAACCAGTGACTGCACCAGAGAGAGGTGACCTATGAAGTCACACAGAATGGGTTTTGGACAGTTGGAGAGCAGGATGAAAAAGTGGCCTTGGTCTCTCTCCCCTGCTTTACTCTGACAGCAGCCATATCTGGACAGAAATGATCAGATACGATTATAAAATAATAATCAATCCTTAACATAATTTATGGCTTCACTTTACTTTCTGTTTAAGTCTAGACGGTATTCAAATGTGAATATTAATAGTGAATCGTAGCATCATATGATTGTAATCTATTTCAAACAATAGTCATATCACAAATATATATAGTTACAATTTCCAATTATGAGGTTGACAAAAATGCTAAACAATGTTGTTGAAAGTATGGCTGAAACTTAAATATATACTAATAAATGAGGCCTTGAAAGTTCAATCATGAGCAGCCAATGATGAAGCACCCTTACAAAACATGTTTCCTTCTATAAAAGCTTTTGCATTGTGTTTGGCATTGTGTGTGTGTGTTTTGCATTGTGTGTGTGTGTGTGTGTATATTGCTCGGCCTCGTCCCATCTGGAAAGAGGTGTTGAGATAAGACTGTGGTCTTTATGCTAAGCAACACTCCGCTCCTCTATTTCCAGATTGGGCGCTCTGACAACAGTTTATGTAAATAACAAAACAACAAGGCACATCTACAAAAAAAAGAAAACCTTCTTTCCGCCAGGCAGAGGACAGCAAGGGGGAGAGTTGGTGTACGGAAACAGTGTGAAATCGGGGAGAATGTTAGGTGCTTCCAGAAAATAAAATGTTTAACAAGGTGATTCACACATTTGAATGTTGGTGAAGCAACAGCTCACGCAGACTTTAAGTCAATGTAATCCTTCCTGGTTCATGATTTCGGAGCAGAGGTTGTGCTGCGATGACAGAGACGTGCAGCAGCCCACCCCCCCCAATCCCTCCAGAATACCTTCCAGTCAGTGCGCAGCTGAACAAACACACTCCTGAATGAAATAACCACACAGGCTGGGAAACACTCCCTCACAGCCCCCCTCGCTGCTCTCTACCTCCACACTGGCAGAAAATACACTCCATGACTTTATTCATGAGTCCCACTGAGAAGTTTTATTTCCAACTTAAACCTTTGTTTGGCATGTTTGAGATGTTGCATTTTTCAAAACGTTTCGTAATATTTCAGAACAGAAAACCACAGTTTAAAAATGCAGTATATTAAAAAATGTGTTTGTGTGTAGACAGGATTAGAGACTTTGTATGTCGAAATTATTTCAAACATTTTCTCAGAAGTTCGGATGCTTCAATTAAAAGTCTATTCAAGAACTTTCTAATATTGTATGTATTACTACAAGAATTTAAACATTAATCAACAAACGCCCAGGGTGTTATATTTGCTTTCCAACTTAACAAACTCCTAAACAAACTCTGTCATTCTCACCAATTCTTTCTTAAATCCACATACGGTAACTGCGCAAAAGGTTGTGAGTCAATTGCTTATCCCTTAAGAATGTTTTGTTGTTTTAGTGGCCCCATTCACAGCACGAGGTCCTGGAGACTCCAGAGTACCCCGATGCTGATAATTGACTTGTGACAAATACCTCTGTTTGTTCTGAGCGGTCTCCTGGTGACCGAGAGCCGGCGCTGAGCCGCATGAGAGGGCTGTTTTGTTTTGCTGTGTACCCGTGGTCAGGCAATAAAGCTCCTATGAAAGGAGCGGTCTCTTCTCTTGGCCCCGACCTCCCCCCAAACTCCCATTAAGCCAAACCAGCACAATGGTGGTGGCAGAGGGGACCAGAGCTCCCAGGGAGAGCCTGCTCTTCACCAATCAATGTGTTTATTTAAGCAGGAAGCATCTTCTCTGGAGCACGAAGGCCTTTCTCTTTTTGGTAGAGGCTGGAGGTCAGTTGTTCCCATGCTAGGGTTGCAAAGGTAAAAGCTTCAGGTCAGGAGAGACTTTCACTGGTCCTGGATCAGTATAGGACATTTGGTGTCTTAAGTTAGGATAAAAAGAAGGAGCGTTGTGTTGTTAGTTGGCTTTGGTTTCATTTTAAACTGTGGCTGTTCAACATTTTTCCATGTGAATATATGAGTTCCTCAGTAAAGCAAGCACCCACAAGACGGGACCCCCACCCCCCTCCAGACCCTAAGGCTTTAATATTGAATGGCACATTGGTACCTTCCCCACAAGAATTCATAAACTAAACGATTAGCCTCTGTCTGTAATTGCGCTCTCCCTTGCCTAATAGGGGAGGTGAGGTAAAGAAAGAAAAAAACAAAGGACAGTTAATTTGTGATTTCCTCTGCTCATTTGAAGGCAAATTAAGTGTCAAACAGCTAATACGGTGCATATTTCATTTTATGAGCTTTTAATTTAATTCTACCGCCTCATATAGCTGGAGCCCGTTAGGTGCTCTGCTAACACCGGCTCTCGCCTGAAAACAGGGACCATAAATAAACATGTTTCAATTAGGCCCTTCACAGTAATAGGATATGATTCTGTTCATTTGCCACATATGGATGGTGGATGTGTCATTGTGGCGGAGAGCAAACAAGCTGCTGGGCGTTCGCACTGTTTTTCTCCGGCCATGGACGCCCAGTGGTGGCTGGCTGGTGTGCGTGGCGGGGGGAGGCTGGCTGGATTGATGGAACTGCCGCGGGGCCAACCCAACTGTAATTACAGGCCGTAATGAGAGGCTGCATGGGGAAGTACTGCAATAATAGTCCCTGTGTACTTAGGCATATCTTTGAGAGGGCTAATAACGATTAATTCTGCTCACCGAGGAGAACTTGTCTTAAAACAATTCAATATTTCTCCATAAGCCGCCTCTTGTCCCCTCCATTTCCCTGCAGCGACAGCTATACGTTGACTGCCCCTATTTGCTCGAGCCGGCTACAAGCAACGTTGCTCAACTGAATGCATCACTTTTAAATCCACAGTTATTCGGTCGTAAACTTGCACCAAGTCGAACCAGGAAGTGTAATTAACTCCAATTTGCCATCAGGTGGTTAGACCCAGCTGTAATACAGCAACTGATTTTTTAATCAAGAAAGCAATATTGTTGCTACCCTGCGCACAGACTCAAAAGTAGTTCTGCATTAAACCTGAGCAAGTTTGTTGATAACGTGTGTGACAGTCAGTACACGGATTTGAATAAGGCTGGCCACTAAACAGCTGTCTTATAATCATGACAAATAGTTTCCCTCAGCGTAGTGTGTCATATTAAACAGCTCTATGCTTAATGGCTTGGATAAATAGGCCATAAGTAGCATGGCAGAGCACGGCCGTGTTTTCAGTGACAGCAAACCAAGCGCACAGATAACGCGTGTCCAGACAGAGTGACTGAAGACGCCGTCGCTGCGTAACTTCTCCCCCTTAATTCAATTCCCTCCACCCCCCTCCTTCATTTCTTCCCTCCCCCTCCCTAACCTGTACTCCAGATCGTACCAAAGCACTCCTGACGGATAACAAGCCAGGCTGTTTGTTCGAGCCGATGTTGCCGGCGCGTGTTCTCCCCATTATCTCTGCATAAGCTAAATGCTAAATTATATTTGCCATTTTGTTTGCAGTGACATGGGGCATCAATCACCTCCCTTTTTTATTTCTTCGCCTCTCCACCCCCCCTATCCTTTTTTTCTCCCTCTGCTGCAGCCCCTGAGCAGGAGATGAGGGGTTGAGAGGTAGGGTGGGCCGGAGGTGGAGAGGCGGAGGGGGGGACATAAAAAATTCATTACGCTTAGTGGCACATCAGCACGGGAGAGATATGACTCCTGAGGAAGAGAAGGGGGGAGTTGATAATGATGAAGAATATCAAACATAATGCGGCCCAAGTAGCTGCCCCATCCAATTTGTCCTCGTCACGCGGTGATCGCTTCCTCCGTGTCTGAGGGAAGGAAACAAGCACCGCAAGGACGATGAGGCATCTCCTTAAAATACTCTCTATTTGGACGGCAAGAATACAAATGATGGAGAGCGTAAAATAGACAGAAAGAGTGAAAGAGGCTGAGGAGGAAAAAGAGTAATGTGTGCATGGGTGGATGTAAGTAAAGGAATGCTTTGAAGTTCTCTGCTGACCCGGCCAAGAAGGACTCAAGGGAAATACGAGCTGCCGTAATAAGACATATAAATACTTACCGCTCTCTCTTACGAGGCATGACACCATGTTTTACTCTACTTCATACTTGATAGCCTATACATGCATTTGATTGGCTGAGGCAGGGTGGTTAGCAGTATAGAGTTTGTGTCAGAAACCCATCTGTGTCTGCTAGAGATGGGTAGATGTCAACAGAGGCATTGCTTCCTTCTCTTGACAAGGTTTGATCACTGCTCTTATGAGGATCGCACGCTCCCGGGCTCCCCTCACCCTGCTCTCATTTGCGTGTCTCTGACATGCGGATCATGTTGCTCTCGTACAGGGCCGTGGCCTTTGATCCTGAAAGGCAAAGAGAGGCGCGCAGCACCCAAGAGGAGGATGCTCCGCGCCCACAGGCGGAAGGAAGTTCAGGAGCTTGATTTGTATCGCCATTAGGAGAGTTCGGAGCTCACCAGAGATGTGTGTGATGCCGCTGAATCAAATGAGGTTCTCAGGTGGGATCGGCTGCATTGTGGTTGAGTGTGTGCGTGAGTGTTTGACCACTTTAAAGGACTTACACATGAAGAGGGGGCACAGGGGAAGGCTCGTAGATGTAACGTCCCTGCGTATGTCTGTCATCGATGGGCACAGGAGGATGGAAGGCAGGGAAGAACTGCGGGGAATCTGTAAAGAATGACAGAGAGAAAGGAAAAAAACATTTTAATTACACATTGCAAGATCCTTAGTTCCCCTAAAATATATTGTCATGTGAATGTACTCCTTCCTCTGCTAATCTTAATAGCAGCTATAATTAAAGGCAGTGGTTGATGGCTATCTTTCAGCAGACTCACCCAAATGAGACATCATTAAATGCACTCCAACATTTTCGCTGAGGACGTTTTTGTCAATGTCTCGAGGCTGATATAACTCAAAAATAAAAAGCGATAAATAACCATAGGAGAAGCCGCCAAATGGCGCGTTTCTCACCGTACCAAGCATAATGTGGTTTTGTACAAAGGATAAGTGCAACCAATGAAATGTATAAAACAAGAACAAAAACACCCTTTTCTGTTTCTGTGTTTTGTCACAACTACCAGTGAGAATCGAGAGGCATCTTGTTTTCTTTCCCTCCAGATAAAACATTAAAACATTTGCATAATATGAGCTTCCAAGCCGTTCTCTATTTTTACCGCTGAAATTGAAAGTGTTGTTCTGCCTCTAGACTGAATCCACATATGCATGTACTGTACTCATTTTCTAACATTTGTCCACACCATAATCAAAAAACTAAAGATGGAATTTCGTGTAACAACCGTGCATCCATTGTTGGACAAGTTGCAACGAGCAAACCATGAGTGGGAATTTTGCAGAAATGCTGCCTACCTTAGGGTCGAGTTGTGAAACTTAAATGGGTTAAAACTTGTGCGGAAAGACAGAAAGAGCAAATGACTAACCCGCACGAAAGGGTCCACAAAGCAACAAATCACTCCTTTATTCACATGCTATACTAACACATCTCATTGCCAGAACACATGTCACTTTATTGCCTGTTACCGAGCCCCGTTGCCAAGTTGCGTATCACCACCCGGAGGCAAAGCATGTGTCAACATCTGCATACCTTCACGAAGCAAGTCTCTGAGGCTGTTAGCTATGTGTTTTTTACTTGTAAACATTTGAACGTGTGTGCCAATAGGGCAGATGGCCAAACTGTGGGGTGCCCAACAGCTCTACGAGTGTTTCTCCATGCCAAACGCAGCTGCAGCGCCGGGCAAAGCAGCAGGTGTTGATCCCCCAGCACCTCTAAGGTCTGCTTACCTCATCAGTCACTCATTCATTGGGCTGATCACTACCAGCTCGGGCCAAAACAGCGACGATTAAGAAGGGATCAATGTGGTGTTGTTTGTAATCCTACAGCATTATATGCAAGACTTCAAGGTACTTTGGAGATTTAGTATTGCACTTCCATCAAGTTGGGGGCAACAGAGATGAAAACAGAACTGTCAAGAGTGAAGCAGCGAAGATATCCTGACTTTCAGTCCCCAATGTGGTTCTCGAAGTTCAAAACGAGATACCCGGCTGATGCAACTTGAGAATTTTTCGGAGGTTTTGGAAAGCTCTCTCCAAAGCCTAGGACAACACTATACAGCTGTTTTTCGCAGGTTAGATAGTACTGCTTGTGACGAGAGGGTTGACTTTGACATGTTGGTGGGGTGCCCCTTTAAATCTAAAAGATGCCTTATTTTCCTTTCCTTATTCTTGTTTTTATTCCCCAGAAAAGCAGCTTCTTTTCTGAATATATCCCTAACTTGGCATAGTCCTGTCCTTTTATAGTGACCGTTTTTTTTATAGTATTACGTACCCAAACATACTCTAACATATCCCTCAAAATAAGAGCACATTCTTAATGTTCTCAATAAGTAAAAAATAAAACTTTGAGAATTCATTTGGGGGGGTTTCATCCTGTTTTCACAATAGTGGAGATAAGTGGTAAAAGCCTCCTCCGTGCAGTTCTGGCAAGTATCTGACAACTCAGTCTCTGTCTGTTTGATAGTTTCCTCCTGATGACTCAGTATTGGCTTGGCTCACCTCGGCTGATTCCAGAGCTGCTGAAGGAGGGAGAGCTTTCTGGGAAACAGGGATGGACGAGGGCAGAGTCTGCTTTGTTTACTCTTCACAACTCCGCTCAGAGGCTGTCGGCCCTTGGCTGTCAGAGTCGGAAATGAACCCTCAGGTTTACCGGCGTCTATGTTCTGGGTTCTGGGAGTAAAAGCTTTATGTTCTGTAATCTTACTGATCCTTGCTCACATTGCAGGAACTTTAAACAAACCTCTGTCCTGGTGGGTAATGAGGGATGACTGTAAAGATTACAAAGTGTGAAATCATTTTAAAGACTCCACCCCTTCACCCCTGCAACACACAACTACATTCCCACATCCGCCACTCTTCATTGAATTACCCAGATCCCCCTATGTTTATGTCTCTGGAGCTCCTCACTCAGCACAGCCCAGTGCCTAGACTGGATCCTTTTTTTTTTTTGCTCCTTCATCACTCTTTCCTTCCCTCCTTCCCTCCCTTCTTTCGCTGAGGCCGCATGGCAAACCATTCCGTCAAAGTTTATTTAAATCCATCTCTGAAGTTTACTTTACCATGGCCCAATCTAAATAGAGCCTGCCACCTCTTTTACGCCAGCGCAGCTCTCCATTAGCGTGGCAAACAGCCCTGTGTCACTGGAGGGAATGTGTATACAGTCTCAAAGAACAGAGGGCGAAGGAGAGAGAGGGGGGGGGGGACTCCATCCTGCAATCCATCTCTAGTGTTTCCTGTAGGGACTCTTTACTGTTTACTCTGGGACTAAATTGCCCCTGCTCTTCTGGATGTTCAAGGGATATTCTAGTCTCTCTAATACAGAATACAGCTGGAGGGCACATAGGAAGCCAACGCACGCGTCACCATTTTTACCTTCCCACTGCGGCCACACACCACAGCAGCACCAGCATTCCTCTGGAAAATGTAATCATTGCGGTTAACTCCCGGTTGCATTGGGTAGACCACCATTGGCAAAGTAAAAGGGGTTTAAGAAACAATCTCCACCAATAAGACACTGAAGGTCAAGAACACTTGATATTACACTTTGCAAACTTTTTTGAGAATATAGAACATTTGTTTCTGGCTCTCCAACAATTTATCAGCTCTTTAGAACTCTTCTTGAACATTTTAATGACTCTAGCAGAAGTATTAATTTTTGGTTTTAATTTCCCCTTTTTTTATTCTTTGAGGAAAGGGGATGGAAGTCATTAAAGACATGATTACAAATGGGTCTTAATGAAAGGGCAATTAGAGGCAAACTTTGACCAGGCTCATTAATTCTAATTCTACACAAACACACCATGCTCAGGACCAAAAGCCAGCTTCCCCTTCATTAAAGAAAGGATGGTAATTGCCTTGTCCTTTATTGGACACTTGAATAATTTCAAAAGGAGGGGGAGGACAAGGGGAGGATAAAGCCTAAAGCACATCATTTGCAATATCCTTATTGGTTAATCTCCTTTCATAATGGCAGTTTTACCACAATGGATCTTCACTGTGCTTTGGTACGCTTGTGATGTGATACTTTAGGAGGATTTGAGCTGTCACTCACAATTCTGATTTGGGTTTTGATAATACACAAACAATTTCTCATCTTCTTCTTTTGTTGTCAACTCAGCATTGTGAGTTTATTGTCTTGACTGCTAAATCTGGCGAGGGTTCAGTGACTCCGCTCTAACAGAGTGTCACCCCGAAACGCTCTTCCATAAACACTGCACTTCTCATCGACGCTCCGCTGCGAGAGCACAAAGAGCCAGTGACAGATTGTCATAAGCGACTAAGGCAGAGTAAGAAAAGGGCTGCTGGGGCCTGCTCCAGAGGTTTGTGAATTGCTAATGTGGAACATATGAAGCCTGTGCCGGGGCTGTGACTGCCAGATTTCATTATGCCACCTCTCTCCCCGCTCATGATCTCACTGTTCAGGAACGCTCGTCTGCAGCGAGGCCCGCACTTATCCCAAAACTCTGCAGCGATTCGCAGAGCGTGCGATAGATACTCCAGACTTTATGTTGTTTGCAAGCGCATTTAAGAGAAACTCAGGTTGTTCCTCTCCGGGAGTGAAAACAATATCACTTCAATTACTCTCTGTGTAAAGAAGCAGGATACTTTTGTTGTGGTGTTTTTACCGACGCCTGGAGGTTTCACATTGAGAAACTGTAAGTGGTGGTCTCCAACTATCATACCCAAATGTAGATTTAGCATCAGCACACATTGTCCATGAGTTGTAAGCAGCTCTACTCAAATGTCGTAAATTGTTTGTATATTTTTTATAGGCATTGTGACAACACTGGGGTCGTCCAATGTTTGGTGTGTGTGTGTGTGTGTGTGTGTGTGTGTGTGTGTGTGTGTGTGTGTGTGTGTGTGTGTGTGTGTGTGTGTGTGTGTGTGTGTGTGTGTGTGTGTGTGTGTGTGTGTGTGTGTGTGTGTGTGTGTGTGTGTGTGTGTGTGTGTGTGTGGCTGTGGCCTAGCATTACTATACTTGTGGGGACCTAAATCTGTTTACACAGTCACGTGTGGGGACTCGCCTCCCTTATGGGGACAAATTGGAGGTCCCCATGAGGGGAATCATTAATTTTAGGGTGAAGACTTGGTTAGGTTTAGGATTAGGGTTAGAGTGCCTGTAGGTGGACTGAAGGACAGGGTCATCAGAGGAGATGGGGCACACCTGTGTCACCTGGCTCACCTGCATTTAAGAGGGCTGCATGCTTTGACCTTTTGGTTACCATGCCACATGCCAGGGACACTTCAGCTTGCCACATTTCCACTGCTTTTTTATGTTTATTTGAAATCAGTTTGGCCAATTACATTTAATTAGGTTGAGTTTTGTGTGAACTTCCTCTTGTTACAAGAACAGCCTCAAAAAGTAGAAATGTCTTCCTATCCTGTTTATCATCTTTTAACCTCTCAGATTCATCTTTTCAACCATTTGAGGGCTCACATCCATGTGATTGGAATATCTGATGTTAGCTAATCATTTTTTTCTCAAACATTGACTTCTAGAATCAGGTTTTGATATCAGTAAATCATTACTGGACGCAGTATTTTATACCAAAAATTGGAGGGATTATTTGTTCCTTAAACACAGATCTAAGTGAGTA